CATGAAGCTTCACTGAAATGCAAATTAATATTACAATAAGATATTATTACGCACACATCAAAATGGTTAAAATGAAAAAGGACAACATAGTAAGAGTTGACAAGAAAGAGAAGCAGCTGGCACCCCCAGTACAATTGTAAATTTATTAAACCATTTGGACAATTCTTTGGCAGTCATTAATAAAACCAAACACATGCCCATCCAGCAATTATACTCATAGTTATAGCAACAGAAATTGTTATAGTGGGATAACAGTGTATTAGAGTAATAACAGCACCATTTACAATAGCCACAAACTATAATGAACTCAAAAGTCCATAACAATACAATGAAAAGATACATTTTGGAATTGTTATAAAATAAAACACTCTAAAGTAATCCTAACTTTCCTACTGCTGTTTGTGACAACATGAATGAATCTCACAAACACAATATTAAGTGAAAATACTAGAGACGACTGAAAAATACATACTGTGATTCCATTTACATTGATGCACAAAACAGGCAAAACTAACCTATGGCATAATACTGGCGATATCTAGTTGGGGAGGAAGGTAGGAGGAGACATAAGGGGCTTCTGGGGTCCTAGCAAAATTATTTTTTTTGACCTGTGTGTTGATTACACAGATGTGTTCAGTTCATGATAACTTATTAAGCTATATGCATTTAGGATGTTTCCAATGTTCTCTTTGTATATTACACTCCAGTGAAAAGGTTTATTTAAAAAGAAGCAGTTTTCCTTCACAATTTTACCCAAACTGAGTTCTGCAATACTCTGTCACTGTGGAGGGCTTCAACTGGATGCCCTCCTGACCATCCATTTGGGCAATGATACTACACTAGGAAATCTCTCCAATGTGAGTATCACTGAACATGGAATTAAAACCTGGATTCTAAAAAAAAAGATTATGTACTGATGCACTGGTGACACTTTACCTCACTTATTCACCAACTCCTCATTTCTGATAATAAAGTGGGAATTAGACTAGTGGGTCTCTGAGATCTCTTCTGTCTCTAATTATCTATGTTTCTTTCATTCTTTGAAAGGACCAGGCAGAAGTCTCAGGAGAAAGAAGGAACAGAGATCCATTTTTCAAGAAATAAAATGATTGTTTTAAGGAGAGCCATTGAGATCATTTTGTCTAAAATAAGGTAGTGCACTTCTTTTAGAGTTCAGAGCTACGTGAGCCAAGCAGTAAAATAACTTTCTCTTTATCTCAGATACATTATTCACCAAAACTTCTACTGACTCAGATTCTAAAGGTTACAAAACCAACACCACACCCTAATTGTAATCAAACTGTGTTGCAGCTGTTGACTTGGTTAATGTGTGCTTGAAAGTCACTGATTATCCTGAGTAATGAAATATTGCCTCATAGTACATGGTAAGTAAATGTTGGTGACTCTGGCTGAACTGAAATTCTTGCTTTGAGGGAATGATGTAAAAGTTAGGAGAAACAGTTCCAGACTCGACCCTTTCATCTTCAGTCTCTGTGTCCTTGAACAAAATACTGAGTCTCGAAGGCCCAGCTTCCTTATCTCTAATGTGGGAATAATTTTACCATAGTCAAGGGTAATTGAGAGAATCAAAAGGGTTATAATGCATGTGAAAATTCTCTGTAAATTGTCAGAATCCCTGTAAACATGTTTGATAAAACATTGTCAATATGGGATCTTGACAAAACTTAATTTTTTCTTACTGCAGTTAGACATAACTGCACTAGTCCAGTATTATTTACAATAACCAAGATCCAGAAATGACCTAATCGTTCATTGACAAATAAATGGATGAAGAAATTGTGGCGTATATTTATATACACAATGGAATATTTTTTAAACTTAAAAAGGATATACTGCTGTTTGCAACAACATGGAGTGAAGCTGGAGGATATTATGCTAAATGATATAAGCCAGATACAGAGGAAAAAAGACTGTATGATTTCACTTATGTGAAGAATCTTTAAAAAGTCAAATACATAGAAAGTAGAATGGTGGTTACCAAAAGTGGGAGGGGGAGGAAATGGAAAAAAGTGCATCAAAGGGCACATATTTGTGGTTACATAGGATGAATAAGTCTGAAGATATAATATACAGCCAGAGGACTATAGATAATATGCCATACTGAAAATTTGCTAAAAGAGTAGATTTTAGGTGCTTATGCCACAAAAAAGAAGGTAATTATAGAATTGATGAATATGTAAATTTTTTTAACTGTAGTAAGCATTCCACTGAATATATGTCTACTAAGCAAAAAATGTTGAATGCCTTAAATATATACAATACAAATAAAGCAAACAAGTAACTGTACTAGTCATTTAGAATACCATGATGATATCTTTACAGAATATACCTTTGTACGAGCATTGGTATTAGTGATCTAGAAATGTACGTATCATTTCAGTGATATATAGAGGCTCCTGACCACTAAATCATCTCCTGTTCAGGTCTGCACAGTCGTGTTTGTTCTGTGCTGTGGGTCTATTTAATAATTTCCCTATCTCCCATCCATCACTGAAGCACATGCCTGTTGTTCTGCCTATAAGTCCCCTTCTTTGCTGTGCGATATTTCATTCCATTATTTTTGACACAGACAGAAAAAGCAGCAGAAACAGCTGTGTCTGGTGGTGACTGGGAGGTGGAGAAGCCATAGTTTCTGACATCTTACCCACTAAATTCTCTGACATTGGCTCTTTTCTCAGTTAATACTGAGTAGTTTTCACATCTGCAGTGACAGAGAGAGGAGAAACCCTAGCTTTTATTTCTTCTCTTGAGAATGTACAGGCGATCTATTATTTTGTGAACAGTGTGGTGTACATTCAGAGTGATGAATGTTTTTAGGATTTATTTTATTTTGCTAAAACTATTCTCAAGGCAGCTCTGGTTTAAGTGATAATGCACCACAGTGGGCATCAGAAGATCTCAGTTCAAATCCCAGCCTGCCATTTGTCAGCTTGGGACACTGGACAGGTCATCTGTTCTCCTAGAGTTTCCTTTTCCCCATTTGAAAAGTATGAAGTAATATTCTTAGCCATCCAGTGTTTTTCAGGGGGGGATAATGGAAAAATGTGTGTATGTTTACTTAGCTAGTTAATTGATAACCTGTTTAGCCATTTAAGATGAATGAGTTTGCTAGCTGCTTTATATTTAGGCAGCTGTAATGTTAATATTATACTAAAATATTTCAAAAGGATCTCATTTTCAAGGAAAATGTTCCAGTGTTTGAGAAAGCATTATAGTGTTGCAGTCTTGCTGATCCTTAGCTCAGCTAGGTCTGAGCTGTTGTCTCATGAAGGAAGAATTAGGCACACAGACACCGGAAAGTGAGTGGAATAGAATTTGTTAAGTGACAGGAAAACTCTCAGCAATGAGAGGGGTCCTGAAAGCAGGTTGTGGGTTGCCACTTCGCAGTTGAATACCAGGGCTTTTATAGAAAAGCTGATGTGGCTGGGATCTTTATTTACATAAGGCATGAATTCCTGGTATTTCTACCCCTTCTTTCCATTGCACATGTGAGCCCTTAGTCTAAGCCACTCCATACTGGTTTATTTCCCTTACTGTCATGTGTTAAAGCATGGAATGTTTCACTGCCAGCTTGTTTAGGGAAGCTCCCTGTGCAAGTTCCCTTATATGTACAAAACATCCAGTGTAAGTACTTGAGGATTGTGTGGACTGGATAATGACCTGGATGGGTTGGAAATTCTCTGGCACCAAAACTGCCTGCCTAAAGCAAGTTGGCTAGCTCCTCTCAATAAGATAAACATTATTTTATATATAAGGGATATAATGCACAGATTGCCCTTAAAGTCATATTTCCAACTTGTCCAATGTAGGAATCCAAAGTTTTGAATAATTTTTTGATGAAATAATTTATTTCATTGGTTCTCAATTTTGGCTGCACAGTGGAACCACCTGGGGTGTTTAAAAAATCTGGGCCCCGCCTGGCGTGATGTCTCATGCCTGTAATCCCAGCACTTTGGGAGGCCGAGGTGGGCGGATTACCTGAGGTCAGGAGTTTGAGACCAGCCTGACCAACATGGGGAAATCCCATCTCTACTCAAAAACAAACAAACAAACAAACAAACAAAACACACACACACACAAATTAGGCAAGCGTGATGGACCGTGCCTTTAATTCCAGCTATACCAGAGGCTGAGGCAGGAGAATAGCTTGAACTCAGGAGGTGGAAGTTGCAG